AACCAGGACCTTCTCGTCGGGTTTTAGAGTGAGAAATAACCGAGCAGCAGCCGGCCATGGGGAGCCCCGCTGCGCCCAGTGAGAGAGGCAGTTCGAGGCGCTGCACCCACAGTTTTTTTGGGGGGGAAGGGGTGGCCGCACAGGCTCAGCGTGCCCGTGGCATTTTGTTTGGATCCTGGTGGTTTTACATGTGACCTTTGACCTGGCGCGGTCGCTTGCCTTCTGCACAGAGACATCACGCGGGCTTTCCCCAGACAGGCCTCACCCCAGGTCGGAGGACGGACCTCAGGGGCCTCCCCGAGGCTGACACCCTCCCCCAAGTGGGCAGGCGGGGGGAGAGGCCGGCCTTCCCGTGCCCCCGCGGCGATACTCACGGTCTCGCCTCTCTGGCCAGGGTGTCCCGGGAGCCCGTCCTTGCCGGGAGGGCCCTGGGGAGAAGCAGAGGGGACGGGGCTCAGCTCGGAGGAGCCGCAGCGAACGGCCGCTTCCTCTCGAGGTGGCTCCACCAGGCAGGTGACCGGGTGCCGCGCAGGAGCCTGGCACCGGCATCGTCTCCTCGAACCCGTGCAGCCGCCTGAGGTCACAGTGCTGCCACCCTCACCTCCCAGGGCGGGAAACTGAGGCAGGGAGCGGTCAGCGGCTCCCTGAGGTCCAGCCCGTGGGAGGTGCGGGTGCAGGAGGCCCCAGGCCCATCAGGGTCAGAGATCAGCTCGTTCCTAACCATAGCCCCACAGGGCACCTGTCAGGCAAACCCCCCGCTAGACGGGTCTTCCTTCCCGCGTGGAACTGCCCCTCCACCCCCCCGCCCACAGTGTCCCACAGTCCCAGCCACGGGCCAGGGCAGGGGCCTCAAAAAAAGTGGATTTGGGGTCCTCAGAAGAGGCAGCCACAGCCAAGGGCTGGGGCACCGCCCCAAAGGCAGGCGGCGCCGAAGGCTCTGCTTCAAGCCCCAAACCACATTCTGCCAAGAGGCCCCGAGTCTGAGCCTTCGTGCGGGTGCATTAAAGCTGCGATCTCTTCCAGAACCTTCTCTGGGGCCCAACATGGGAGCGTTGGGGTCTCTGAACCGGCTTGCCCTTAACCTCCTGTCCAAACTCGGGGCGGCCTCCGCGTGACGGGGACCGACACCTGCACCTGCCTGTTCCATGTGCAGACACATCTACTTATAGGCCAGGCCATGCGACATCTGCTCTTCAAGTATGTGTGTATCCAGGTATATATACGCACACGCACACACATGCGTACACACATGTACACATACGTGCGTGTGATGTTCTCAGTATTTCTTCACTGGCTGTACTTTACTTTATTATTAAGTCTGCTCTTTGCACGTGGCCGTATGAAAGGTTGGAGAACTCCCATTTACTGTGTCACTCACAGGAAAACTGAGAAGGGAAGGCCGGCTGTTTTTATGCTAATCCACAGGAATTCCGACACAACCCCCTCTTGGCACCCAGGCTGGGGTGAGGGTTCCTGGGGACAGAGGGACGCAGAGCCAGGGCCGGGAGGGAAGACAGAGAGGCACCTCCTCTGCTGTCACTGTCTATTCTTTTGTCCCTAACAGTGGGGGATTGTTTAAAGGGTCGCTTTCCAGAACACACAGACAGAACACTGCCCAGGCGGAAGGGCAAGGACGGTTTGATCCCCAGACCCTTTAGGTCCAGCGCTGCGGCGGGCTTTTTCAATGAGAAATCACTTTATACAAAACACATAAGTTATATAACACTCAATTGTGGTACCATCCATATCTCTATGTTACAAAGTGATGCTCTCCTTGTTAACTCTAAGGCAAATCATTGCCAGATGACTTCCTAACACTGATTGTATAGATGGAATCTAGTTTGAGTAAAAGTTTTTATTTTATTGAGGCATAAGCAGTTCAGAAAACATGT